GAGTGGTGACCTCATCTTCTTTCTTTCCTTCCTTTCCATCCATCACTTGAAGCATGGGAAGTGCCTGCGCTGTGCCCTGGGGAAGCCCCAGGGAAGAATTTTGACTCAGAAAGTGACCCTTTCGTTGCCACATTTCAGCCTTGGTGTTTTCAGCTTGCAAGAGGACAATCTGGTCCCTGAGAGGACGTCTGAGTGTCCTGGTATAAACAGAAACACTGTCCACCCTTCCATCCCCACCGGTCTCCTCACTTCCAATGTCCTCACTGGACAAGGGAAGGAAACATCCCCCAAGTTCTAGGACCTTGGAGGACACACACCGGATGTCTCCTGGATTAGACCGTCCCTGGGTTTCCCACCAAAACGTGAATAGCATCTATTCCCTGAGTTCTTGGGAACAGATCACATACAGAGCCTGGTTCAAGCAGATCCAGCCACCTTTTCTAAGAAGAAAGTTTCAAAGGGAGGCCAAGATACTCCTCAAAGTCTCTGCCAGAGACCACATCATAAAGACGCATTAAAGCGTTTAGAAGGTGATATCTTTGCCCCACCACCCATTCATCCTGAGGACGTAGACCCACTGAAAATTAGAAGTCCTACCTGGTACTCTGCCCAACTCGAGCCGTCCTGGTCTCTGCCTCCCATTCCCCACAAGGAAAGAAAGCATCCAGGCTGGCTATGAATTGGCCCTGGGTGCCTGTGGGCAGGGACTCTCCATGGAGAACTCAAAGACGCCGGTGAGCAGAGGCCCAAACGCCTCCACCCTGAGCCCTTCCCCAAAGCAAATCATCTTTTAATTCTGTAACACCAAATATTTATGCTCTACCTCAAATGTCAAGTCCACCTCCCAGCACATAGCTTTGAAACCACGTAAAGAAGCCTAACACTTTCCATATGGTGAAGACACGGAGCCTTTTAATTGTGCCAACTGGTATCATTCAAGGGTAATTCCCCTGGAATCTGGCGCTCGGGCAGCAGCTGGGCCAGCCTCCAAGCCTGTCACCCAGCTCCACGCATCCCCGCAGACTCCAATGGGGCCCGCACCCTCCTAATCTTCCCTAAATATCAAAATGCACTAGGTGCCCCCTAATCAAATTACCAAACTGCCTGGCAGCCGCCTTTGATCCAAAGGCAGGCTCGCCTGCACCAAGGCAGCTCAACTATAAAAGAACAAAAGGGTCAATGGCGGGGGGCGGGGGGGGACCCGAGGAGGGGACTGTTTTAAATCTGGCTATGCACATTCACATATGCACACACGCCCCCATGAGTGTGTTTGGAAGCACACAGGTCCTGCCTTTCTGAATGTTTTCTTACCTGCCACCTGCATCCATCATGCTATTCCATCCATCTATTAAGGTTTTTATTCATTCATTGTATTTTCTACTGGTTTTCCCTATAACTGCCTGTTGCTGTGAATGTTCCCAGTGGCTCTGAGATCACTGTGCTTAGCTGCCTTTCTGACTCTGTCTGGTACACGCTCTCCACCGTGCATGGCGCTCAGTTTACTGGTCTTCGTTCGCACTGCTCCTAGGACTCCTAGGAGCTCACACTCCCTTGGATTTCACCATGGCCGCATGGAAAGGGCAGAAGCTCAGGCTTGTTATATTAAGGGGCAAAGAGAAGAGAGTCTCTGGCCCTACCACTCCCTGCTTGGGGTCCCCCATTTCCACCCCTACAACAAATGCCTCAGTGAACCTCCCAATAACTTCCTTCCCAGGTTTTACTCTCTTTGAAGAATTATCTGCCATAATCCTGCTAGAGATGAGATTATTATTATACCCATTTCCCAGATGAGCTAACTGAGGCAGCCAAAGATAAAATAACTTGCACAAGGCAATAATGAATCATGACCAAGCCTGACCTTATTTGTGTCTGCATTTAGGACTGCAGACTTACTTTAATGTCTGTGTGGTCACCCTCTCATACCCTAGGACAGTGGTTCTCAACCTTCCTAATATCGTGGCCCTTTAATACAGTTCCAGTGGGTCAGGACCCACAGATTGAGAACTGCTGCCCTAGGACCTCGCATTCAACTCAGACCCACCCAGAACATTCACCAAGCTTCTCAGACCCTGTCAGGGAGGAGGAAGGCAAGCAGGTGCACTGCCTGCCCCTTACCAGCTCACTTCAAAGCGCTGGGCAGCTGATCAGCACACCAGCTCTCCAGGAATTAGCACAGTGCAGCACCCTCTCAGGGCTCTGGGACAGGGCTTCTCCACACGACTTCCCTTCTCCTAGAAAGTGCTCCAGAAAAGGAGAGAAACACAGTCTACACCAGCTGGCTGTCAGCTTTAGTGGGTTACAGGGAAGCTTACGATGAACGTAATCAAAGTGCTGCACACATAATAAACAGGAATCATCATTGCAATAACAATGATGCCTGTTAGATGAGCCACTAATGTATTCCCAGCCACCTTGTTGACAGGCCAGGTACAGGACTAGAGAAAGAGGGTCCATCCAGCACTGGCTGGAGGACCCCTGCCAGCCCCCGGGCCCCTGCAGACCATGAAGCCCACACCCTCTACACCCTGAGGGTCTCACAGAAGAACCTGCCAGGCCCCTCTTGGTGCTCGTGGCAACCAGGAAAACTGACCTAGAGTGAGGGCTGCCCATGGCTATCCTGTTCAGCATCTCGGTATTTCCCACACCATGGGTGCTCCATTCCCACATTCACAATTCCAACTACCTGCACTAAATACTTTTCTCCGAATCGACTTTGGATTGGACTGTCTTTTTTAACTTAGCTTCATCCTAAGCAATGATATCTATGAAATCATGGGTTGGATGTCCAAGTTACTTCCTGGTTAAAAAATAAATAAAATAGATAACTATGAAGATTTAAAATATTCTTCCAGATACCACCTGAAACTTCTGCAAGGCCCCAGTTCTCTTGCACTCGCCCTCGGGGGACTTGCTATCCCACATCTGCAGACTCACTAGCTGGGCCAAGGCTAAAAAGAACCCAGGTATCCGGGTCCTCGTCCCCAAGAACAATCCTCAAGAAGGCAGAGGCTCCCCCCTTAACACCTTTAATGTTACATCTTTAATGTTTTTTTTTTTTGACTACTGTCCACCCTCCAACCACCTGACACATGTCACCCAATGGCTCAGTGCCTCACATCTTCAAAAGTGCTTTGAACAAACATTAATGACCTCTCAGGGTTTCTACGAAAGGAGGAGGCACAGGACAGAGAGGGGCGAGCATATCCCATGCTGTCCTCAGCTGGAGGAAGAAACCAGGCAACAAAATTCCGTGACTTCACCAAAGCCACAGACTTAAGCTGGGGCCCCCTCCCCACCCCTCACTTCCTCTAATGGCAACTTTTACTGGCTCACATTCCTCTTGCTGGGAACACTACTATTTAATTAAAAACGACAGACTTTTGTTTTCCTCTCCTTTCCTCCTCCCTCCCATCCTCCCAGACTGGATGCCAAGGAGACCCACCAAAAACATGCGGGTAACATTTGTTATGGCTTTGAAGATAAAAGTCAATTGAAGTAAGCCCTCCCGGTATTTCAAGTTTCCCCTCAAGCACGGAGCAAGCTGCCCAGCAGTTTAGTAAAGGGGGGGAAAAAAAGGACTGCAAATAAATGTCATTCTGCAGGAATACTTTGTAAAAATAAACAGGCTGAAAAAACCCAAAACTTGATTAATGGAAACCCACTCAGTTGGCCTCTGTCTGGAGCTGCAATGCATTTGTTCATATGGCTAAACTGGATCATTTTCATTGGCTTTTAAATAAATAAGTAGATCAAAAACTAGAAATGGTGGGGGAAGAAGGGGAAGGTTGTAGTCCTGTTTTTAAAGGGTCGCAATGGCAGTGCCTCCCCACCAAGTTTTGACCTTTGCTAAGGGACAGCGGCCCCAATTCCAACCCAGCCACACATGAATAGGCATGAGGAAGAGAAAGCCCCAGCTAAGCAGTGGTGGTAGAGGAGGAGAGGGACACTCCTCTCAGATGCAGAGGCTATTTCAACCACACCAGGCGGTGACTTTATCCACAGGCCCACCTCCCACCGTGGTCCCTGCAGGTGACCTGCCACGTCCCACCACCCAAATACACACGCACATCTGAAGACTCCACTGGCCTCTCCCCAGCCCATGTTCAAGACCAAAGAACTAAGCAGACCTGAGACTCAGTCTGCTCCCCCTCTAAGTTAAAAAAAAAAATTAAATGTCACATCAAAAAGTTGATTCATCCTTTGATCCTCGGCTTGCGAGAGTTCCACGCAGACCACCTGAAAGCCCCGTGCAGAGTTCTGGAGCTCACAGGACATCTGTGAACACCAGTCCCGGGCCAGGAGCTGGGGTTGGACTCACTCACTCCCATCACACGTACTGCTCCTCCGGGAACCAGTCCAACCTTGAGGACCCATTGGATGAAGGCTCTGGGGTGGGCCCAGCCTATGATAAAATGAGGCCCTCTCTCTGCTTGTGGGCCAAGTACGGGGTCTGCCAGATCTCACTGCCCCCCTCAAAGTTATGCCACCTGGAAGGCAGCCTGCTCTATCTGGGTTCCTGGACAGGTGGCACTGATGAATGCCACAGACAGTGGGAACACATTCAGGCAAACACAAGATCCTGGGGCCAGAACAACCCTGCCCTCCACCCAGAATCCCCTAAGCCTCCGTGCTCTCCCTAGCTCCTCTCCAACTCTACCTTTGAACACTGGCTGCCAAAACAAGGGAGAGAAGCCAGAGCAGGCCCCCTAATCCCCCCAGCAGTTCTCCCCATCAGCTGGACCTGCACTGCCTCCTCACCGAGCACCTTTCCCCACAGACAGTCCTATGCCCTAACTGGGCGGGAGACTGGTGCCAGCCTGCTTTTAGGTCTGCGAGAGGGGTGCCTTGTCACGTTGATGGTGCAGGGTGCAGCTGAGAACGGATTGTTTTTTAGACTCAGAAGCTGTACAGTAGGGTCTAAAAGTTGGGGTGAGTAGGTATGGAGACCCATTTCTGAGGCTGCCGGGGGGCGAGAGGCTGGGGCAGGATGGGGATCATACCCGGGTGCCTGGGCCAACGTTGCCCGCCAACCGTAGCTGTCGGGGTCCTGAGAGGCCGCCTGGACAGCGCTGCCTCCCGATCCACTCCTCGATGCCCTTCCGAGCCCAGGCAGCGCTCACCGCGAAGCTGTCACCTGGGGTGGGGACAACATGAAGCCCCTGAGACTAGCCCTGGGGCTAAAAGTGAGGGTGAGGGGAGGAGTGGGGTGGTAGAGGGCTGAGGGAGGGCAAAGGCATCTGGGGCCGGGTGGGGGGGGTGGGGGCTGGTGGTGGTGGTGGGGGGTGTTCAGAGAACTGGGACAAAATCCAAGGCAGGGATGCAGGTAATGAGGAGGAGGTTCAGAGAAGCCCCAAGAGCAAGGATCTAGAAGGGGGCGAGAGGAGTAAACAGTCCCCAGGAGGAGGGGTTTGGGGGCCAGAAGAGGGAGCGCTGGAGGCCAGGACCGCGAGGAGAAGGCTGAGGGTCAGGAGAGGGGGCGCAGTGGGCACAGAAGCCAAGATCTCAGAAGAAGGCGATGGGAGCCTGAAAGAGGGGCTCAGGGTCTCGCGGGTGGCGCTTGAGGGTCTGAAGAAGGGATGCGGGAGGAGGCAGTGAGGGTCAGCACTGGAGCGCAGGACCACCGGGTGGGAGGAACAGAGGGGACTCAAAGGCTGTTCCGGGAGCAGGTTTGGGGAACCGA